GGGGGGGGGGGGGGGAGCACAAAGCGTTTCCTGTCTCCACGGCCAGAAGGGGACAGGACGGCGAGCAGCGTCTCCCAAACACTGCTTCGTAATGCTCAAAACACGTCTTCCCGTGCCACCGCGTTCTGGTCAACGGATCGCCCCAATACACACCACAGGATCGACCAAGACATAAAAACAACAACGCTGTGATTTGCAGGCAAAAGACACCAGTAAGCTGCGACAACGAGGAAACAATAAAGGCACACGTCTGTGTTCCGTTCATTGCTTCTTCTGTTGGTGCTACGTCGAGGACGAGACAGAACCGATACTCCCAGCAACCGTGTTAAAATCCTTCTGCATGACCTGCCGCACGCCACAGGACACGCGCCAAAACCAACAACATGACCCGGAACCAACACCAGCAGCAGCGCCTATCGGTATCATGAACACGGGCATTTATGCCTACCTGGACCATGCGGTTGACGGCGTTCCCTCCCCCTCCGCCGACCCCCACCACCTTCCGCCCGCCGACACACGGTGCAAGGTACACGAGAGGCAAAGAAAGGTAAGGGCATCGAGATCGCACACCATAGGAGAAGGAGACGCGAGTGCACGGGTACACACGCACGCGCAAGATCAACCGAATGTGTTTTTCTCCATCTCGTCCAAGCGCGCGCGTCCATTGCTAGGTGTGTATCGTACCCGTGCTGCCTGGGACAGCGTGTACCACACCCTCTGAACTATCGAAAATATAATATGGCACTGAATAGGTGAAGAAGTCGACGTCCAGAAACAACGAGATGACCCACAACCTACATGCTGTGAAGCACACCTCTCGAAATATCCCTTCGGTGGAACAGGGAACACGAGCTCCCTCTCGGGCCATGCCCTACACCTGTACAACATACCGATTGCATGCCCGCAGCACATGGTTACGCGACTCGCCTTGATGGAGCATGGTGTGTTGCCGCCATCGGGCATGAGCTGTGCCGCATGCGGCTCGAACGTGGTTGGCACCTTCAAGGCGACGAGCAAGTCCAACGTTGAAGGACAAACACAGCGAGGAGTGAGGAGGAGGACGGTGAGCCCGATCATAGGTCACGCGAAGAGTGATATAACCAGCCAGCCACAAAGTTCACGTTCAAACAAAGCTAGCTAGAGCCGGAGAGCTGTGCCGACGCTATTTGGCTCTTCATCCCTATTTGGGCAAAAAGCACCAGTAGACAAGATTGCGGAAAGATTTATCACCGGCGCTTGAGTGATCGAGCCCTAGATCTGGCCCAACACCCGGATGCGCCATAAACGTCACTGCAATAGTCGTGGTTCCACCTATCTGCACGTAGTCACGTAAGGCAGCGACTGGAACCTGTTCTTTGCCAGAGATACCGTTGGTCTTAGACTTAAGCTCGGCATTGCTTGGAGAAAATAGTTCACTACCGGTGAGATGGTTTCTGCGGAAGGCAGCCGGTTCCTTCCACGGTAAAATGGTAACTCTCTGACTCAACGACGTTGAACAACGCTACATAGTCCAAACCTTAGCACGTATGTACCTCTTCCCAAAATGTACTGCATCGGGTCTCTTCGACCGGCAGCATGAACGAAGCAAATCACAAATCCACATACATCCTCAACCTTTCCGTTCCGAAACAGAAGAACACAACCATCAGCTCCACCATTCGCCCATGTTGAATAGTGGTCCCGGAATAATGCTGGTTGAATAATGCCGGTTGCCCTGTATAATGACGTTGAGATCGTCTGGCACAGATGGAATAATAATAATCAAGGTGTTTCACACTCTACACAAGGCCGGTTGCCCGCTATAGTGCCGGTGCGAGGGGCTGGCACCTACCGTATACCGTACCGTACCAGCACCATACCGGAACCGTTACTGCTGTACAGCAACAAAATCTCTCCGTCAAATACAACGTCCTGTTCACCTCCTCTGGCTGGATGAACTGCTCTATCTTTTGCCCCGGTCCCTGCTGTGTCACGCTGGATGCTACCGCCGTTGTCGCAGTCCCTGCTCCCTTGGCGACGGTAGCAGGCGTTTCCACCTGACGAACGTGGCGACCCGTTGCCATTCATGCGTTTATTGGGGTGAAAGCTTTGCATAAGGGAGGGGATGTCCTCAATCGTCCTCTGTCTGGTCGGTAACGACAACACTACAAGCTCTAAAAAGGAGGGACTATCGAAAGCACCCTATAGCCTATCGTCGATAACATATTCGAAAGGTGTGCCGAGGAAGAACCAGAAAGTTCCAACACTTGTTGAGCGCCTTCGAACAAGCAGATATTCTTGCTGCAGGGCACGTCGACTTCCGGCCCACAAGCATGCCCTCGTCTCATACATACCCGATCGAAGCTGACGGGCATGAAGCGACTCTTCTCCCCAGATCCGCTGCCACCTGCGGGAACACACCACACGAAACAAAACGCCACGGTCAACGAACGGCAGTGTACCCTCGGCACTGTGTCGTATTCGTTACCATCGCCCGCTCGAAGCTAAACCCACTCAGGGTCTTCTGCGAGATACATTACGTCTCCACTTTTCTTGATGACGTCAACGTACAGCAAAGACTAACGGAAGAGACGCTAGCATCCAAGCCCAATCAACAACGGTAGTGGCGACCGACTTGTGCTTGCCTCCCAACTTACGAACGACTTTGAGATCGCCAGCAGGGGTGTGTGAGACGCTAAAAGTCGGCCCCGTGTGTACGGACCAAATCCTAGAATATTGACACACCTTCGATGATTTCCTGCAGTTCGGGGTCATCAGTAGCCTGGGGTTGGGGGGCGTGGGGG